CTGCAACATCATCACACACAAAATACACTGTCAAAAGCAGGTCTGCTTCTTTCCAAAAACAAGCTAGGTGGATAGCCCAGAGAATCTACTAGACAATTTACCTGGACTTATCTCTCTAGCATCCAGGCACCTCTCTCTCTGCATTTTATACTAATTAGGCAGAAATATAAACCAGCATTGATTTCCTGTATGTCATACAAAAAATTTAACAGAACAGATAAGCCCTGATTCCTTCAGAACCTATAACTGACATCAAAGAGGTGAATGTGCCATGTAGGTAGTCATGTGCACCATCAGGCGTATCAAAACTATATCCCACTTGCCAGTTTGTACAAGTCTGCTAAAAAGGATGTTTATCTCAGAGTGCAAACTGATATTTGGCATTTTAGAGGATTTTAACACGAGATTGTGTACCATGACTCATTTGATGTCCTTGTTTTCAGTCTCAAGAATAAGAATTTTTATGATTTTTGGATTAAATACTTTTGGTGTACAGAGAAAATTATTCTGCTCTGCTGTTGCTGTTTGTTTGAGGGCCCCTGGGGAGTCCCTGGGGGGCCCCCTAAGCTGTGTGTTTGCTGGTAGCAGCAGGCAGGCAAGGAGACTCCACACGGCTTCTGAGGGTGCTGATTAGATGAGGGTTTATAGGGGGTCTTACCCCCAGGAGCAGCATGGTTACTGAGGGACAAGGGGGGGAGGGGGAGGGAGGGAGAGCCTAGGGAGAAAAGGGCCAAGAGCATGCTTAGTCTCCCTTGCACAGCTTAACAGGGAGATTCAAAGTGGGCGCAGAATAAGATTTGGGCCAATGGGATTACAGATACATGATACTTCACAGGAGGATCACAGGTATGGAATAAACCGTACATTTTTGAGGGGGTGAGACAGAGCATACTATTTAACTAAAATGTTACACCACACTCTGCAACATTTTTTTCCGTATTTTTTATTTCTTTATACCAGCTTAATTTTGGTAAGTCATGCTAAGGGAGGTAGAAACTGAAGCATACAGCATTTACATTAGTAGCTATAGAACAAGAAAGATATAATCTGTGTTGTCTAGCATTTCTCCACCAAACCAAAGGCCAGTTTTACTCTTGCTGAAGCCCTAATCCCATCTGAATTCTTCAAAGGCAGGCAGAGTTGCTCTGTCTTCTGCTGAAGACATGCATATTCACAAGTAATTTGATAAACAAATTATTTTGCAGTTAAGATGAGTTGGACAGATACAAATGCAATCACACTAATTTTGTCTGATTGGGTCAAAATAGCATTCCATCTTGGCCACTAAAAGAAAATAAAAGGAGAACCTGCTTGCATTTTACAGAGTAATGCCTGAAGGCCAGATTTCCTTCCCACCAGTGCCAAGATGCAGAGCTCTGATTCTGTAGATGTTCAAAGCCAGACAGGATCTTTCCCTCAAGACTGCTCCCTCAGACACAGCTAATGAGGATACCACCCTGCTACAGGGCTGGCAAAAGATGACGGCCTTTATTCTATAGGACTGTTTCATTGACACTGATGGCTGTGACTTCTGCAGCTGAGTAAAGACAACAAAGATATGTACTTGTAGAATATTGCTGGCATTCATTTGCCCCCACACACTATTATTTCTTATCTACCCTGTGTCCCTGCATCTTAGCCAGGACCTCACAGTTCCCGACAGCCAGGTCTTTCATCTGTGGCTAAGAGCAGTAACTTGTAAGAAAGCTGTTGAGTAAGCAGGGAAGTATTCTTCACAGCAAGGAATACCTGCAGGAAGTACCTGCAATATAAATATGCGCACACATGCTAACAGGTAGATGGTGAATCAGCTCACACTCCGTGAATCTTACACAGTCCATATGAAGTATCACACAGCAAACACTGAACTACCTAATCTGTGCATGGAAGTCTTTTTCCAGCTTAAGGGAAATGCCTGGGCAATATGAGGTGAGAGCTGATTCTGCATCAGTGCCTCAAGCCTTTCAAGGACAGGAAAGGCAAAACCAGAACAACACATTGGAGAAACCGCTTAAAGGGATCAGACACGGCAGGTCAATGACAGATCTATGAGCCAAACTCCAAATCAGACCCCACCCTGGCTACAGATTCCAGAGACCTAAAGACTGCCCAGCAACCTGGGCACAATAATCCCAGGGAGATAATTGCATCTCCTTTTCCAGATTAGCTATAATGATGGCAATTTCTCCCATATACTCTGCCATGATAGCTCAAAAGCCATGCAGCAGAGCAAGCAGAGCTGAAAACACTCTTCCTGGCTTTATTACTACATTGTAAACAATCACCTTTCCTTCCATTTTATTCGTACCCAGACTCTCAGAAATTTTTTTGTTGTGTTTTTTTAAGAGGGGAAACATACATGCTCTATTTTCCATTAAGCTATTTACACAAGTATTTTCCAGACATTTCTGATGATCACCATTGAGATCTTCCTTCCCAAACACAAGGGGATAAAGAAAAAAAAAAGCCATTCACTCTCTCCACATTTACCACATTTCTAAAGCTGACAGGTTTTTCTTCAGGATTGATTGGGGGTGAGTGGGTAGGGAAGTTATTTGTTTGTTTTATAATAACAGACAGACTTGGAGAACAGAGAGAATGAAATCTCAGAGGTCTCAAGCAGTCTCAAAATAATTCCCCAGAAGCAGTTTAATAGCACTAAAGGTTGATTCATGCAATAAATGCATCAAAGGTATATAATTTTTACGGATACAGCAAGAACTCAGTCTACATGTATGTTTGTCCTCATGCATATTCACGGCCTGCAATACAACTTAAAGCTGAGACAAACTGCAAAAAGGCTTTTTCATTCTCTAACATGAAACATATGTTAAGAGCATGGTCTCTACAAATTTCAGCATAAACTTGGAGGACATTGATTTAGATACCAACATGAATTATGACATGAATTGAAGAAGATATCTCTATTTGAATCTTTAAAGCTTGTGCTTTAAGTGGCTGCATCCCAGCAAAGACAAAATGGGTAGCAGAGTCTAAATTCTAAGGCCAAAAGCTTAAAAGTATTTAGTAATTTTAGATGCTCCCTCTGAGATGCTTTGGGTCTGCCAAAACTGCAACAAAATAAAAGCTCATAATTTTGTAAATGTCAAACTCTCTCTAAATTCAGATGCAAAAGCTTAGGTCTCTATCCCTGTATTTGGTTACATTCAGTCTAAATACTGACAGTTTCAGCACATAATAATAATCCATACTCCTTCATGAGATCCTGATTCCAGCAGTCAATAGAGTTAAGCACTTTAACGTATGCAGAGTGATGTCCTAGGGTTCATTTCAGCTGTATTTGCTCATCATCTTGAAATCATACTATTTCTATTTAGGAGTCCTGATACAGAATTAATTGTAGCATGATATTTAAGAGCCATACAAGTCCTGCTGTCCAGAGGTTTTGGTATTTTGTCAGACATAATGAAATATCACAATCTTTCCACAGATAAGAAAACTTAAAGTGAGAAGGACATTCTATATGAATGGAGACGGCCTTAAAAAGAGGGCTGCTTTAAATGGGAAATTTGCAGACTGCAGTATTACAGCCTTCTACAAAGATAACACATTAAAGACCCTGCAATAGCCAAACATGTCACTGAAGTTAGGCAAGAAATCAACCAGATACTTAGCAGAAGCAAGGCTTTCTTGGAAAACTAAAGAAAGCTGCAATTTCATAGCAAGAGATCTGAATGCTACCAACTAAAAGCAAAAAATCCCAAAGGTTAAACAATTAGCCTTCTGACAAATAGTTCTAAAACAGAATTTCCATAACAGATAACATGTGGCTCAAAGAAGTTATGAACCACTCAAGTGGCTCATTTGGGAAATTTAATCCCTTGACAGTACCAGTGTGTAAGACCAATCCCCTTAGTGGTTGAATTTTAGTAAGTCCTATGCAGCACTAAGGATTCTGACTTAAGAATCTAAGGACCAAAAGTTACACTGGGAACTTCCTAGAGGTGAGCATTCCTCACCTCCAAGCAAGAGCCCCTGAGATAGTCATGACTCAGAGAACAAATTTCCATTGCTGCATACAAAATAGCAGTCAAAGCAATATCTGTTTCAGATCTTACTTAAAGTTATGCTGAAACAGCCAAATACCAGTTCACTTACATAGCTTGTTGACTTGCTTTCTGCATTTCCACATTTCCAGCTGAATGTGAAGATGTACTTTTCCCAATTTCTCTGCTGCTTCATCTTCTGCATAAACGTAATGCTGGACAGCGCATCACAGAAGCTGAAACCTTCTTCTTTTCAAACTTCAGGCCAAGGTTCTGTTTACACATGCTGATAAAAATTCTCGATAGGTATAATTTACAATGTTAAGTGAACAGAAGCTTGCCATCCTGATGTAAATTTGCAAACCATAAAATAACTAACAGAATTTGGTCAGAGAATCAATGCTTAGCAAACATGGCTTCCACAAGAAACCTAAGAAGTCAGTAACAGCTGCATAAGGAGTTATTTTACTTGGGGTCTTTAGAAAGCAAAACCATGAATTTGAAAGTGGCATATTGCCAACAGGTTTCTGTTTCTTTTTGTTTTCTTGCTGTTTTGTATTATAAAGAATGATTTGTCAGGCAAAGAGCTGCACTTTTGTGTGAAATATATATCCAAGAGCCTGTAGACTACATAGGACGGGGAAATACTTGTCTAACTAGTAACTCTGTGGAGTGAGAGATTAATGGGTGGTTCTTGTTTCTGTCAACCTTATTTCCTGCAGCATCACCACAAAAGTGCAGGGAGCTCTCATTCTTCATTAATCAGAACAGGAGCGATTTTTTGCAGTAGGAGGCCACCTCCCCACACAAAACAACATACTCAGTTGTTAATTTGACTATTTAAATCCAAACTCTAGGGACCTCAGCAGACGTACTGAATTTCCATGTTAACAAATATTAATAAAAGATCTCTTGTTCTACACAGGTGAGCAATTTATTAGAGAGAAAGGAACAAACTAGACATAATGCCTTAATTGCATTTTTTCCACACAGGTCTCCAACCTTCATGCTAAATCTAGCCCTGACAGATAACTAAACACTTCTGCTCCAGAACTCAGGTAGGTAGGTTGATTGGTGGCTCACTGGCTTGAAAACCCTCTGCTGTGTTTAAAGGTCTTTATAAATGCCAGTATTTCACATAATTGTTTTTTCAACCTGGCCAGGTTTCTGTGCACTCTAATTCTTCTATATCAATGTGGTAAACACTTCCTGCAGACAATTTGTTAGGAAGTTTGGATTTTATATAACCCAGGAAATGAAGTCACCAGACCTGTGGGCTGCCTGGAGTGATTCAGTCCCCTAGTTCCTGCAGTAAGCAGGCACTTGAGACACAAAAATCCAGAGGCAATGACAAACTAGTGGAAAGAAAGGGTACATACTAGTTTCTCCATACACTCTATTCATACCTAAAAATCCAGAAAGTTACAAAGAACTTCCACAGATTTTCAGCCATTTATTTTTATCCCTGGTGCCAAAATTATAAATACATTCTGATCCCTCTTCTCTTGTCTTCATTGCATTGGGGAACAGAACTACATGATGTGTAGGAGGGGACTGAAGTTTCTTCCTGTATCTTTTCACCAAGGAAGCAGTACCTTTTCTTCTTTACTTTGTATTTCTATTGGTTACAAAATACACATGTCACTTTCTATTAACTTGTCTGGTTTTGCATCATCAGTCACTTATCAGTGCTCTGGAAAAATGCTATATAGCTACAGCTAATGTAGCATTCCCTGAAATGGACTAAGAGTTCTGAAAACTTCATAGTTTTTTGTTCAAAATTAACTTGGATTTGGAGCTTTCTGATGGTTTTGATTGTTTCAGAAAGCCTGTGAGAAAACCCATGAAACCCTAAGATCTAGACAGTGGAACAGGCTGCCCAGAGAAGTTGTGGACTCCCTATCTGTGGAAGTTTTTAAGGCCTGGTTGGACGCTGCTTGAGCAACCTGGTCTAGCGGATGGTGTCCCTGCCCATGGAAGGAGAGTTGGAACGGAATGATCTTTACAGTCCCTTCCAACCCAAACCATTCTATGATGTCATTTTCTTCCTTGAAAGTTATTTTACCAGTCTTTTTGAGATGTATAATTTGTCTCCTTTGCTGTGAGTGGCTCTCCTAAGCCATGCTCTTCAGCACAAATGGAAGTTCTTGTCTAGCCGTCACCACCATACAGCTGTGGTGTGTGACCTCAACGCAACCTTCCACTGGAGTCCCCTAACTATGCAAGAGGAACCAAAATATTAGTTAAGCAGAATAACATTTCCTTTCAATGGCCATAACAAATGTCATTGCAAACAAAGAGGAAAAAGAGAGACAAAAGAGAAAATGTAAAAAGACTAAAGGAATTTTACACTGCAGACAAAGGAATAATCCTTGGCTGCATAATATCCTGGAAAATATTCACCATTTAATAAAGGTTTAAATATTGAAATTTGTTCAATCCATATATGTTCCAGTGGCAAGATCACACCACAAAATCTTCTTCTGAACTGACTGATTTTGGAGATAGTTGCTGGAACCTGAGGAGTTCTGCATGTCTAAGTTTTCTACAGAGGAGAGATTACTCTGCAAATCACTGTCAGTTCCTCTTATATGATGCTTATTGTTGATGTGAGTGGGCACACTTAGGTATCTTTTCCTCTATCCTTCCAACACATAGGCAGCAGAGGGTTGAATTGGTACAGCTCCTACCAGCAGCCATCCTGTAACTGCTGGGCCTTCTTCCACAAGTACACCACAACTGCAAATCTGTATCTGTTGTTGGTATGCAAGGTTTAACAGTATTACATTAACCTCACACTGCTGCAAACGCCATCAAGGATTAGCACAAGCCAGTATCTACCTATGAACTCTGACTCCAAATTCAGCAAAATGTAGCTGTATCTGGCACATATCTTTTCTGGCAGGGACCACAGAAAAGTGTGAGTTGAAGAGGAGAAGGGGGAGAATTTGAATGATCACACAGGAGCTAAACAACCAGAGGAGTAGCAAGCAGATGAGAAGAGGTAAGGAAACATCTGAGTCTCCCTTTCTGCACCTGAATACTGATGGGTGAGATCAGGCTTTGTGCTATCCCCAATTCAACACTGCATACAAAGGGAATGAGTAGAAGACAAGAATTTTTGACTTTCTTGAAAAATACCAGTAAAAGCAAAGAGCAGAAAAAACAGGTTGGCCTATCATGTGTAGAGATAGAAAACAGGTGGTGAAAGATAGAGCACCAGTAGTGTCAGGGGAATAAGGAAAACAAGAGGATTTTGTCTCCTGCATTACAGAATATAATCATGTCGCATTAGGTGCCATTTAGATTTGCTTACCCTACTTTGATTAAATGCATACAGGCACTTTCTTTTTACTGTCTTTGATAATTCAAAGCCATTATGTATACTGCAGAATTTACTTTAGTTGTTCACTTTTGCTCTCACTGAGGTTTTTCTCTTCAGAGGTCACTTGATCCTGGAGCCAGTGATAAAATTCATCTTCAAAATATGAGTGGAAATAAAATCTGAATTAAATTCAATAAAAATTGAATTTAAAAATAAAATAAAACCCTTCTGGAGACCATCCTGCGCCCAACCTGTCCCGCTGAACTTAATAGGAATACCCCTATAAATTAGGCAAGCCTGATTTTTCCTTCCTTACCCTCAATACTGGCATTCATTAATTCCCAAGCATAACAACAATTCTGCTAAATTTTTGTACATATTATGCAAGCACTCATTCTGCTAAGTTTTTCACAGCTGGAAAAGAGATTCAGAGTTTCAAATAGGTAAGAGAGGCAACAGTCATAAGAAAATCCCAATGGAAAAACAAAAGGACTTAATAGCAGGCTATTATTAAACTCTATTTGATATATTAAAAAATCAGAAGGAAGCCTGTCAAAAAATTACCATGATCAAATAAATTGCAAGGGAAAGCTGCCAATCATGTCTTGCAAACTGGTATGGCAGAGATGAAGGGAAATAAAATGCCCAGAGCCCAACATAAAATCAGGTTTGTCCTGCCAAACACATTCCTGTCCTGCTTATGGCCCTCCTGCCTTCACCCAGCCTGCACCAGCTGTCCCCTTGGCACCTCATACTTCATTCCTGCCTGGCTATGCAGTAGCTAAAGGTGCTGCAGAGGCTCAGCATTGGGGCTGGGAGCCCCACTCCCACTTCATTCCGCCTCCTCCCCAGCAAAACTGTTCTGCTCCTCAGCTCCTTGTTATCTCCTGCCTACGCACATGCTGTATTCATATGTACTTTGCCACTTTGCTAAGTGCCCTTGAGATTACTTAGGTACTGCACCAACCCAAAGTTGCTCCATTTAACAGCGCTGGCTTCATAAAACTCAAGCTCACATTGCAGAGAGCTGCCAGGGAGATTAACTTCAAAATGTTCCCTTTAAAGTGCACAGTGTCTAAACTCTGTTCAGTGGATTGCAATCAGTGCTTTTGCAATGCAAAAGCCATTCCTCTTTCAAGAGGCTGGGTTGGTGAGGCATCATATGCAGACACAGAAGAAGCCAAGGCAGGACATGCAGCCTCCTCTCTGTTCTTTTCTCCCAGTTGTGCCAGTACTGCCCAGGTGCAGCTGTATAATCTGAGCTGGTCTTTCTGCTGTTCTCTATACATGCATTTCCCAGGGATAAGTGTCTATGGGTTTAAAACAGCAGCAGTATTACAGCACACTGGTGTAACAGTATGGCAGGGCAAAGTTTGAAGAAAGAATCAATACTTTACCAAGTAAACTGAAAAAGCTGGAGGAAAAAAGAAAACCATCTGGGCACTAGGGGCCCTTTTTCAGATTTTAGGAAGCTAAAGGTTTCACAGGGGAATTTGAGAGCTAAAGTACATTTTTTTATCTTCAGTTTCTAATATCATCTTAATCTCAAGTAATTTGTTCCTCTTCATTACATTTACTAGACCTTTCATTTGCTTTCCTTTCTTCCCAAGCTGCAATTGGCAGCTGAAACCCATCAAATCACAGTCAAGAAAAAGTAGCCAGAAGCCTGGGTTGCTTCAGAGGTGTGTGCTGGCACACCTTTGTGTACCCATGCAGTTCTTCTGTTACACTTAAACAGAAGTTTAGAAAGCAAAAACATTGATCTGCTTACATTTCCAGATGTTTCTTGTTCCCTGAGTCCCCCTCACCACCAAAAAACCCAACAAGCATTGCCTCAGTTTAATGGGCACCAAGAGATTCCATTTAGTTGGGGATTTTCCCCGCTTAAGCAGTTTAAATCTTGATAATCTCTAACCTAGCTATCAAATCTAGTGTGCTTAAGTGAGAAAACCCATTGACATCAACAGAACTACTCACATTAACAGTTACAGATTGATTTGGCATTAAGGCTTTAGATGTTCAGATGACCATTTAGATCAATTCTATGCCTTGGACTGGTTTTGCAGTTTAAACCATTTAAAACAAGAGGCATCCCAAAGGAGGCCACAAAGGTAGCATGTGTGAGAGAGCAGAGCTGCTACTAATTTAGTCACTATGGTTGTTTGTGGCAGCCCAGATACACTAATGCCAGCTAAGGCTTTCTGCACCTGCCTTGAAAAGCCTTTCTCCAAAGGCAATAGTCTGACAAACTGCTTGAACGTGGCTCCTGGAGCCAAAAGTAACAGGGGGACTTACACAGTAAAAGAAAATCTGAATTTGAAAGTCTTTATTTTTAGGCACCGTCCTTGAAATTGCAAGGAAATTGTAAATTATCCCCAAACCAAACACTGCAAAGACAATAAATGCTCAGTTATTATACTCCGTGTTGAAGTACAATTATGTAAATGCATTTTACAAATATATAGTAATAAAAGTGCAAAAATATCACCTAGGTTGCCCAAAGCAGGCATGAAATTATGCTAGGCAGTAAGTCTGGGAGAGTGATGTGGACATCCTTGCATCAGTACAGGTGACAGAGGGGAGGATTGTGACTGCCTCAAAGAAAGTGAAACAGCACTGGCTCAGTGTTATCTTTGACTGGACCTATCTATCACCACAGAAGCCAGACCATGAAGCTCTATTTTAATAAGGTCTCACTGAAAGGCATTCTTTTATCCACTTCTTCTTTTTTATTATTCTTTCAAATATATGATAAGATACTTTTCAACTGTGGCTATTCACTTTCTGTTTGCGTAGGGTTTGGGTACATCACAAGTTACAAGGTCAGCATTAATCTAAACAATGGTTGGTTATGGGTAATTTTGCCAAGCAGAAAACACTCTAAAGGCTAGATTGTTATCATCAACAGGGCAATGCACAGGCAGCAGAAACAAGCTCTACTTACACACATGTAGATTAAGCAGAGCTACTCAGATGTCAGGTCATGGGTGTAGCACAGGCACGAGAAGCCATAGCTCCCGCCCAGGGCTTGTTAAGAAGAAAAAGTAGGGAAGGAAGGAGGAGCTTCTCTCCCTTCTACTTCAACATGTCAGCATGGCCACCTGGCCAGGCACCTGTGAGGAGCATGGAGGGCCCACCCAAAAAGTGCAGAAAGCCATGTTAAAGCTGCAGAGCATGTTTAAAGAAAGGAAAGAGTCTGCAAAGTGTGTATTTTCCAGTTGTGCTCGGTACTGTCATCCAGCCCACAGCATTTATAAGCAACATACTGACAAGGTGTCCTGCAGAAGATCCCAAAACAAAAAGTCAAATTCAGTAACACAAGGGAAATAGTAAGTCTTTGTGAAACCTTTTAAACTGATTTCTTTGAGGACTGCTTACTGATAGCTGACACAAAAGAATAAAGCTTGTAATAACAAAATACTTTAATTGTATTTACAGTCTGTCACTTTTAGAGCCAAAACCTTCCAAAATATACTCTCTGAACCTGGAATGCATGCAGCTTATCTCTTGGCCTTTATATTCTCTTCTTCAAAACACACCCCTTCCTGCACTGTCACCTACAGTGACTAACACCAACCTAATGAAAAAAATTAAAACCCCAAGAGTAAAAAAAAAAGGAAGACAACTACTAATCAAACATTGCATATGCAAACAATTTTATAACCCTGTTTTACACAAATCTGTTTTCTGCAGGTCTCTCGTCCATGAGGTACTCTGTATTTTTCAGACTGGGACTAAGCACTGTAGCACTAATACCCATTACCATTGATGGAACCAACTGCAAAGTGATATTTGTTCTCCATGTCTTGCTTGACCTCCAGATTGGCTGATTAACCTTTCCGGAGCAAAAGCTCTTTGCAAAGGGAAGGTAGATACAAGCACTGGAAGCCAGTGCAGCCCAGCCAGAGTGTTAACCCTGACTCAGGAAAACGGCAGCTCAAGAGGATAAATCTCTATGGTGATGGAATTGCTGGTCTCTCTAAGAATGGTAGCTAGCACTTTTCCAGGGCTGTTATTTTGTGATGAGAACCAGAAATCAATTAAATAATTTATCTCCTGTGCTAAATATTCACGGTTCGCAAGCTACCTTGCTGCTACCTTAAGCGTGATCTGATTTGGAGGTCTTCAAGGGAACCATTCCTAATTCTGTCATTAAAGAGGTATCTTTAATATATCTAATATCTTTCTCTGAGATATCCTGTTCTCTGTATTGCATTTATAAACACCTGAAGTAAAAATATTTACATTATAACTTAACTATTCACTCTGATTGTGCAGTAACCTTGGGCTGACAATCCATATTGTGTGCTGTGGTTTTTTTTAATCCCATTTTGTTCAGCAAGTGTTCAATACACAATGGTCTGATGGTCCAGCTGCAGCCAATAAGCACACCACAAAGCTGAGGAAAAACACAGGCACCCAAAACCTGATTCTCTGGCTATTGTCATGCACCCAAAAACTGATTCTCATGCCACTGCCCAGTAGCAAGGCCAATTACCTAGTCCTTTTCAGTAAGACTGAAAGTAAGGAAAAAGGTGAAGGGCTAATTCAGTCTGTATTACAAATAGCTTGCTTCTCTTCACTTTTGCAGCTATATGCATTTTCACATACTTTAGCACACTCATTAAAGCATATTTCCTACTAGGATATTTAATACTGTTTATCAAGAGCAAGGTCAACAAGGGAAGCAAGATTAGATATTTCAAAAGATATGTTCCCTTCTGTTGCCATAACAAAGAAAGGTGCATTAAATCAACACTGCTAAGCTGAATTCAGATTTCAGCAGCCCTCCTTGCTGAAGAATCACACACACACACAAACATCCCCTCACCCCATAAAGCCCCTCAATTGTTACAGAAGAGGCTATGGCACTCAGGCTTACATCACACCTGTACCTGGCCTTCCCTTAGCAACCACCTTAACTTTATTGATTCTATAGTTCATTCTTATGGCAACAAGTTCTATTCTGACTGTTTATAAACTTTTAAAAGGTCATCAAGAAAACAGAAATAAAAGCTGTTTTTCTGGACTATTTTTGTAGCATGTAGACCCATGGAAGCTATTGGGAGAAAAACAAAAATGCAAGAAAGAAAGACAAAACCCAAAAATCCCAAACTGAAAAAGGGAGGGCATGTCTTTGGCTGTGGTGGCATCACCTGTATTCTCTTCTCTGCTCTGCCATAAGCTTTCTCAGTGACGCTGGATGCAAACTGGGTCTCCCACTAGTATGTGTTCTTTCAAAAAACTCCCCATCTCCAGTTCCGTGGACTTGACCTTAAAATTTTTATTTTATAAGCTGTTGTTGGTTTTTGGTTTGTTTGTTTTTTTTTTCAATCCCAGGAAGAGGTTACGGATTACTTTTTTAAAAGAGTGAAAAGAGAGAGAAACAAATGTAAGCTTAATGTTTAAAAAATATACTATTTGCAGGCAGATGGTTGCAGGATTTCATCATCAGCTGACAGAGAAACCTCTCCCCCTGCTCTGTAGCTGGGACGATACCAGCAGTACTCCAAAAACCAATGATCTGGCTTTCTTCAGATCTGTTCCACAGCTCTGACCTGAAGCCCAATACAAATTACCAAAAGATCACACATAATATTCCTGTTCCTATCACTCAAAGCTGATATTCCTCTAACAGCACTGCTTAATTATATCCTGGTCCCACCTACACACACAGAGTCCTTCTTAATCCTACAAGAAACACAACAGCAAGTTTGCAGTGTAAGCAAAAAGTAGACTATGTGGTGGCCAATTTCTTGTTCAGAGGTTTTTCTGGGAGGAATTCCAACTTAAGTGATGCACAGGACCCCTTCTTATCTTTGAAAGGAAATATCACTTAGCAATATTTTACATTTTGAGACAAGGAGCAGCTAACTAAATATCAACTTTTTAAAATAAAAGAACAGCATTTCCTCTGTTTTATCTGAGTTACTCAAAGGCAGCTCCTCCTATCCCTTGTATTTTTATTTAGAGTTCTCAGTAAATGATTTGATACTATTTTAGAAAGTAAAATAACAGACAGTTTTATACCATCATTTGAATGAGATCTGTGAGCAAACTACTGCATTTCCTGAATAGCATGAATATTATCCTTATGAATGAATCAACTATTTCCAAATATGGATTGGAAAATATTCAGCTACCAGATATTTGGAAAAGCAAGCTCAGAAGTTCGATACACATGTGTAAGACTCAGGAAAGTATTCCATCCAGTCAGTCACTGGATTTAGACTCAGTCATTTCTCTGAGTCACTCATTTCATTGCTATGCTTCACTTATTTTGTTGCACTTAGTTCCTGAAAACTCAATTATGTGAAATTCTCACACTCCAAAGCAAAAGAAATGAAGAAAAATATCGCAGTTTCTGTCTGCAATGAGCCCATGTCCTCTATGCAGCACCTTCTTTCCCAACTCTGCTTTGCTCCTGATGTACATGGCAAATGCCTGCTGCCAGCCCGTACTGCCCATCTTCCAAGCTTTCCAAGTTCCTACTTCTCTGCTCTACTCGGCAAGAAGTATTTGTCACTGGGTTTTGCACTGATGCCTGCCACCAGAGACTTGGAGGTCTTGCCTCTGTTAGCCATGTTCTCTCATCTTCCCACAACAAACAAAAGCCACAAAAGTCTCTTTTCTTCCTGCTCTTCATAATGATGCCCTTCATTCTCTGTCCATCATAGCTCATACTTCATCCATCTTTTTCCATTATAAGATCAAAATCTCAGCATTCCAAAACTGCATCCAAACAAAAGACTCTCCAGATATGAATACCATCTCAAATCAATTACCAGGGCATTCATTCCTCACAATAATATCTCTATTATATTCTTTTACTGTTGAATTAAAAGATTACACTGCTGACATGCTTTCAGAGTTTATGGATGTGGTAATGGGGAAAGAAAACACACCACTCTCAAAGTTCGTCACGAGAATCATGTTTTTCAAGTGCCTTAAAACTTCAATCCTAAGCAAGAGGAATAAGGAGCATCTTTCTTGTTACATGTGTACACTGTACATAACACAAAAGAAGCTGACAAACCCACAAGGTGTTGCCAGAATGCAGTCATCATCAGGCAAAATCAAATTCAGTGTTAGGAGAATGATATTTCCATTGGAGAAAATTAGAACTGCACCTGCATTTAGCTCTCTTTGAATCACATTACTCCAAAGCAAATGGAAACCACAGAGAAGACTTACCTCTTATGAAAAGCAGCAGGTCCAACAAACCATCAGCAACCAAGCATTACTTATCATAATTAGCAGTTTTAAGATTCAGAGTTTTTTTTAATTAAGGGGTGGATAGTTTCAGTTTTAGAAAACTAACTGGAAGATTCAGTGAAAGCGTCTAATAACTGTTTGTTCCAAGAATCTTCATTGAAGTATATTTTAACACATTGATTATTTTTGAAAATGTTATACATGATAAATGTTTAAAGCAGTCAAGTGCAAGTGTGAACCCATTTTTGTATCATATTTAAAATAATCCATCCCCTGCTATAAAACATAAGGAAGATTATGCAGTACTTCAACAATGCAGGTAACACTGCTGTGCTGACAATGAAACCCAACTTGCTCTTTTCTAAATACCTTCAAAAATGTTTAACACATTCCAGGCTGTACAGTCATGCATGTCAACTAGGATTGGGTATAAAACACACAAGAAATATATGCAGCCTCCAAAAACCACATGCTTCATGATTCATTCTCCCGTATCAAATTTTATTTCATTTCTTGCCTCTTCCTACTGTTTCCTGCATCTAAAGCTAAAGCCCTACACAGCCAGGTTTCTCCCTTTACTTGTTTTGCTCTCCTACTTTTAATGAAGTCCTTAGGCACCGTATCAACACCAACAACATGAAAACAAGTACTAAAAATGCTGATTATAGGCATGTTTATCAGACCTCTGAGCCCAACATCCACTAACCACAGCCTTCCCTGACACTGCCAGTATCTCTTTGTAGGCAGCCAAAATGATATGACAGAGGTGCTGCAAAGACCATGCCATGAATCACTTTGCTAGTTCTCACAGCTGATGTGTTTGGCAACACAGGAGTGCAGCTGAACCAGCTGACACATGGCTGATGACGCTTTATCTGTGTTAGAAAGGCCTCGTGGTTAGCACCAAGTAGTTAAGCATTTATTTACTGTTTTTAAGTCTGTGCTCCGGATGAAAAAGCAAGCATGAAGGAAAGGATCATGGATAATTTTCTGAACAGGACTTTACACTTCCCTCCTGAGCAGAGAAGCATGCTTAGTTAATTTTGAGGATGGGTGCATTGTTCCAAAATGGGCTAGCAAAAATACACTTATTCGTTTATAGACTGGATTATTCTTATGGCATGGAAAAAAATTATAAAGGAGCTCTCAGTATTCAAAATATTTTTCTGAAATTTAACCTTTCAGGTGAACTCAGAAGCAACTTTAAATTTGCCACATGGTATGTCTTATATATTTCAGGTATTCAAACTTCACATATGTTCTGGAGTACAAGAAAAATTAGTTTATCAGCCCTCCTACCTACCATATTTTAACAAATAGTTTTAATATATTACCTTTATTCACTGTTACCTAATATTTAAACTGTTATTAACTTCTATAATTTAATGTGGTCTCACATTTCCAGTACCAGCCAATAAGATGTAGCTCTTCTATGCAAGTTACATTTTTATTCCTGCCAAATTGCAAGTTTTACTAGAAAATTCCAAAGAAAAAACAACTTTCTATGAGAGTCAGGAAGAATACTTTTTTTTTAAGAAAAAAAAAAAAGAAAGTTGAAAAAAGCAACAGCCATGGGTTATGATAAAAATAGCTTGAAAATTTTTCATATGGTATTGTGAATGCTTTTTATATGGTATGATGGGCATTATAGTCTACCACTATAGCCAACTTCTATATTGAATGTTTATCAGAAACTCTTCAGAAATTAAATCAGAACTTGATCCAATTCCTGATGAAGTAATACAGATTATTTTGGAGACAAGACAGCTTTCTGCATACATGAAAAGAGTCCAGTGTATTCCCAATGGGCAATCTAAGCAGTAATAAGCTTAAATTTTAGCAAGAAAGATTT